AAGATACTTTCCCGATTATTTTGGCGGTTGAACATACAATATGAATTCCGGATTTGTTTTCATTCACAACTCAGAGTCGCCGCCTCGAGTAAGATTCTTGTGTGATATCTACAGGCCATATCTGGTCCCATTTCACTTTGATTACCCTGTCAAACAGGTCAGCCTTCGCCCCTGGCAAAGCAGGCCTGCGATCGACATAATAGTTACTCAAATTGTGACAGTTTCTTGAAGCAAAATAAAATCAACGCACTTTCAATCTGCGATTCCTCCAAATTCCAGGACTGTCAAAAGTCGTTTCCAACAGTTCTTTTAAGATCGTTTACAGAAATACATGTAGTACTGTTTTGCTTAAAATCAAATTACAAACAGAATTAAAAGTATTACATTGCAATGAAATAAGTGATTCTGCTCAGTGTCGTATAATCCAGGGCCTTTATTCAACTCTGAAGGACTACAAATTTCGAGACAACATTTAGAGAGGTGTGCAAAATACCAGAAATCGCACTGACGTTTATGTCGATCCTCAAGGACATTATTGACAGCATGCCCGACTTCGTCAACAGAATAATGGACACTTTTGCTCTAGCAAAAGAACGAAAGGAAAACTTAATCTTCAAATAGATTTTCTAAAAACAGGTAGGATGAAGAAAACATCTAATTTACATGCCCTTGACTATCTTCAACCTGCTTTAACCTAATTATGCACGCCCACTTTTTAGACCCACGAGCCGCCCCTAGGTTAAAGCTAAATAATACCTTTGTGCTAATAATCGTTCCGTATTACAATTATTATATTATAGACATAATATTATCTTCTTTGATCCTCACAAAGACAAATCGTCGCCTGGGAAGACACAGTCAGCTATCTGCATTTTCTACAATGTTACAGCAGAAAAAAGAAACATGTTTCTTTTCTCTGTGAAAAAGTGGACTATTTTTTCCCCTCGCAAAACAATATTTATGTGACTGTGCTTCATTTTTACAATAATTTTTGTTCTCAGTTATTTGTCATTTCATTGCCATGGGGTCCTTTCCAGGCAGTGGATGGCTGCATTTGAAAGAACATATAACGTTTCTGGATGGTATTGATCATGACATCGATACTCAATGGTTTGTAATGTTTTTAAGGCTTCAAAAACTATGTTTCCAAACTAAACAACTTTTTTTCACCAAAATTCTACTTAGTGAGGTTCCATTTCAACACCCCAATACGTGTTTTTCATCGCTTTTATCTATTGATAAAGATTGAGAGGATTGGACAGCTGTGCTTTAAAAACATAAATGTACTTAAAATCCTCTTTCTTGGAATGCCCAGGCTCACCCAGACTCTCCCTTCAGCGGCCCCCTAGTACCTTGAGTTTGAGACCCCTGATTTAGAGTTTTGTAGCAGCACCGAGGGATAAAATATGTCCCGTCCCTGTCGCGACGGAACACCTGTCCACTGACAAAAAGACAAGGAGTCACTCCCTTTTGTTGTGATGCCTTCCATACATTTGCATTGCGCAACGCATGAAAATATTATACAACCATTTTAGACATTTGATGAGTGCCAACTCAGAATTGTTTTTCCAGTTTACTGACTTCCGAATTAAAGTTGGTGGGTTGCTGGAAACATATCGGACGAGATCGGGGCTCCTTTCACCATTGCCAAAAATGTTGCTGGAGTGGAGAAGGAAGCTGATAAGGATTTGACACTGGCCAGCATGGAGGCTGCTAATGACGGTTTCTGGGTTGTCACAAGGACCTTTAAAGGTTTTCTTTTGAGATCACTGCAGCAAAACTAAGCTGGCAGAGAACAATTTCATTCTGTACGACGAGTAACTACATCGCGGACTTCATACAAAGCTAGCCCAGTGCTTTTTAGTGATGGGTTTGCATATCAAAGCAGAAATGGTATTCTGATGAGTGCCAAAAGCCAGCTCACTGGAAAACAAGGAGTTGTTATTGGACATATATAATATTGAAAAATGACAACAGATGGAGGCAGAAAGAGAGCACTATAATAATGTATGCCATTTGTGTAGCTCATATAATTAATTTACAGTGATCAATGCGCTTTACATGGCATAAGTAGCCCACAAGGACCTTAACATATTAATACATGCAGGTAAATATAAAAACAATGAATGCGAATACCTTAATTAAGCAAAACGGACTTAATAAAAATGATGGGTAAACAATCCCCCCCCCCCCCCACCAAAAAAAACACAAAAATTTAATGAAAATTCTATTACAACAGTCTAATAAACTGAAGCAATTTTACAATACATGTATACGGTACAAGAAGTATTCAAATATATCGCAATGATCTGTCTGTCTGTCTGTCTGTCTGTCTGTCTGTCTGTCTGCCACCTCCCCCCCCCCTCTCTCTCTCTCTCTCTCTCTCTCTCTCTCTCTCTCTCTCTCTCTCTCTCTCTCTTTCTCTCTCACTCTCTTTTATATATATATATATATATATATATATATATATATATATATACCCTTCTCCCTCCGAGAACTAACATTGACAACACACTCTATGGAACATAACAGCAACTGCAGCAAACCTGCACTTATCACTACATGGCATTGGACAGAAGGGCGAGAGCCCAGCTGTTGCTGGATCGATAACAATAAACAACATATTATATATATATATATATATATATATATATATATATATTGGGTTCTTCTCAGTGCGCCGTCTGGCTTTCTTTCTGACCTTGGTTAGTTCTTCTAGTTCTTTGTCCTCATGAGGGCGGAACTTCTTAGGGTTCCCTCTTGGAATCGCTTCCTTAGCAGTTGTCTTTAGTGCTGTGGTGATGTCCTTGTAGCACTCACCAATTGGGTTGGCCGTGCATACATCAAGGAGTCTGCTTTCTGATTTCTGTTGGTAGAGCTCCCAGTTTGCTTTCTTGTAGTTCCAACTGCGTCTTGTGGGGTTGGTCGGTTCTCGTTTCCTGTTGCTGGATATCTGCAGTAGGTTGGGCGGTTGTCACTTCCTATGTCATCTAGGACAGTCTTGGGGCAGTGCAGGTGAAGGTCAGCAAAGAGCAAGGTCAAGTCTAGTCAGATGAGAGTTCCGATGGCTCTTTGAAGTAGGGTGGGAGGTGTCTTGTCATTCTGAAGAGATATGAGGTTGCTTGATCTCAGTAGTTCTGCAAGAACTGTTCCTGTCGTGTCTGTATCACTGTATCCCACAGTGGAGAGTGTCCATTGAACTCTATCTCAAGAATGGTATGTTTAAAAGCCCTTAAATATACCTGTGACAATTACTTTGAAACTCGACTTTTGATCTGACTGGCAGGAATGGCCACGACCATGACGTATCAGAAAAATGTTAGCGGACTACTCACTTCAGCTGTATACAGATCAGCTAAAAACAAAACTGTTGTCGTTAAAATGGTATTTTGTACTATTGATAAAATGCATCTTGATTCCATAAACGTTCAGGTTTTTACTAGTCGTATTGTTTATGGCACATCAGAAAGCCCTGCCAGAGCAATGAGCTAAACAATTCTTTCATTATGCAGTCTTAATTTTTTTTTAAAAACAACATTTAAAAAACAACCAAAAAATGCACATGCATTCATCCTTTTATAACGCAAAAGCAATGCGTGTGATTTTTTTCAACCCATCAGCTGTCAGATGTGGCACGGCACTGGATCGCTGGACTTGTCAAACATGGACCTGGTCTGACAGCTCTTTGTATGCCCACGGTGAACTGTTACCGGTAAGAAACGTTCCAGTCACAGCTGACCAGGGTCTGTTGTACACCGGGTTGTGCTTTTAATTTTGTTTCCTTTTCGCGCGCTTTTTGAATTCTCAAAGCTCTCGCTTTTTAGAGAAATCCACCTTCTCAAGTCGTTCGCAAAAGTTATTATTTTTTCCTGATAAGTGTATTACGGCACTCGCAACTGCATAAGGTCATATCAGCGTGCAGGACACTCTAAACATTTTCAGGTTTGTGGGAATTAATTTTGAATTTTGCCCGAATGGTGACTGAAGCCTACTATTATCAATTGTTGGGCCACCAAGGGATATTTAACCTGCGCGACTTGTACAGGGGACCTCCGAGATTATTTTCTGAGAAAGGCTAGGTGTTACAACTTACCTACCCTAAGATCAGGGGTGTTGCTGAAAGATTCATTACTTTCACAAATGTTTCAACAGAACCTGCCACGTTAAGACACGTCTATTTGCGCTGGTAACACATACACAGCATGACCCACATGTATAAAGCACGCCGAGCTTTTTATTGGTGTTCTTTTTTTTTCTTTTATTTGTTTTTTCTTTGTTTCGTGGTAGGCCTACTTTCTGTTCATACTTGTTTTCTGAACTGCATGGCACAGTAACGTTGGGGTTAAACTGTGCCTAAGTATGGGGTGGCTGTGTACTGGCAAACATCCCGTAGTACGACAGACATTATTATACATTACATTAGCGACTCAACAAATGGCGAAAAACGGAAAGGCCAAAACGCGAAACCACGCAAAAAAATACCTGGTGCACAGTACAATAATAATATATCAAGAGTAACTTCACTTCTTATCTCCGCAAACTGCTGTCAGATGTCAAATTACTTCCCGGCAATTGCCTAAAACCAGATCTCTTTTAATAGTTATATCATTAGATAAAAAAAACTATTAAAATAAGTCCACTTGTTTTTTTTTCTAATTACCAATTTAGTGACATACATATGCCACTTTTAGATTTCGTACCAAAAGAGGGTCCCAGCCTAGTGGGTTTACCCCTCAGGAGATAAATACATGTAGATAAAACTTCATGGCCCATCGTTACTTAATGTGGGCATACTGTGGGAAGCCATTTTATTAAGATTTAAAAAATTCACCCTATTACAGGCGTATTGGAAAGGAACGTCTTCCAACAAGGAGCGATTGGTCTGTGCTGGACAGGAATGCGACTTTCGTTGTGCGGAAAACCCGCAAGAACAACATCTACGTAGAGGACAGACTCCCCAGCTCAGCCGGAAATCCTTATCTGGTCATGGCTGCCACAGTGGCCGCCGGTATAGACGGGATCAGGAACAAGGTACGGTTAACGAGGGAAACATCTGGGTCACCAGCTAACAGTGGAAATAAGCGCGGTAAACAATACAAACTGCCTTCCTTGTTCAAAGCATTTTCGTTGATCACTGACTCAGACAGACATGGCTCCAAGTAGCTCGAAGTATCAATGATCTTCTGCTCTGTCAACTGCACCAATTCCAGAAACAAAAAATCCAAATGTGAGTTTCTTTCGATCCCCTCTCTTTCTCACTCTCGCTCTCGCTTAGCTGAAGCCTTTCACATGAACCGGTTTTTTTTTCAAGCACGAACAAGGAAACTTATCGAAAGTGGAAACACATCAGTTTTGTATGCCCCACTTGTCTCCCTTTGTCCTTTCACATAAAAAACGGCATTCATCGAAAAATTCAACTAACAAAGTACCGAGTCTTCAGTACAGAAAAAACCCACCTTCACCTTTGTCAACTCCAGTAGTCCAAGAGTACAAAATAGTGGGTTATTCTTATTAGGATAAAACAGAATTGGTGTTCTTTAAGTGAGCGTTTGGTATGAAATATAATATTATTATAATATAATTATTGTCTCTGGTTATATACATTATTACCCCCATGTGAGTTTCAGATTGTTTAAACATGTTACACATACAACCTTACAGGTGAAACGATGGATGGGCAATAATTAATTTTTGAAAACACTTTGTTCTTATTGAATCATAATCGCCAAGTCTCCTTATCGTTTCATTACTTTGCGATAATGCCAATTCACAGATACCCCTGCAAAATAAGACAGAAGATTTCTGTGTCCTTCCACCGGACCTTGAGACAGCCTTGACCTGCCTACAAGAGGACGCTGTGCTGGTGGGTGCCCTGGGCAAAGACCTGGTCGAACTCTTTGTGGCAACCAAAACAATGGAGATCCATCACCTTAAGAGTATGGGGCAGACCAGCGGCACAGACAGCTTTCAGAACGAGTATCATCTTTACTTTCAAAATGCTTAATGTACTTGAGATAAGTATTGCTCTCTAGAAGTGCGTCGGGGCACCCATATTTGTGACGGTATAATGATAATTGCATAATGGAATTGTTTGATCTCTCTGTATTGTTGTTGAAACACCACGTGAAGACACTGTGTTCAGGTATGATGACTTACTATAATGTGTTATTTTTCCTTTCCATTGTTGACAGTTGCACCGTGATTTAACTGCGAGACAAACTGTTCCAATATTAAACACTACTCTTTTTTTCCAGGCTGCTTTAAAACCAGCACAATGAATATATGCCATTTATATTGAAATAATAAATTTACTTGTATCCCTGAGGGAAATCGGAAAACATAATTTTTAATTTTTGAGTTATGTATTAAAGTTGAGGTTTTGTTGAGAATGAAGCTAAGAAAGTCCAAAGATCCTTTGCTTTCTGACATATTTTGGGTATACTTCATTTGAGTTGTAGTATGAAGACCTACAATGTGCACACTCACTCACAGATTTCAAAACTCGTTCGCTCGCAAGACCCAACCTCAAAACAATCTAGCATTTCTTCATTTTTTCTTTGCTTTAATGTAGACATTTTTTCATCCCCATCGACACGATTCAGATCATTTTGGAGGCGGGCTTCTACACTGCCTGTCAAAGTCAACTTGTCACTGGAATGCATACAACGTTCAAGCAGAAAGACAGAGATACATTGTACTCGATTAAAATTTTCCCAACACAAGAGAATCTAATTCTGGTCTTCTGCATGTCAAAGTGGTACACCACAGAAACCCGCGTCTTGTATTTCATTTTTCCGTGTTTTAAGATAGTGACACAAAAGAAAGTGACAGTGGCTTTGAACTTACTTAATACCATCATCATCAATACCACTTATAATGTACACCTTTTCCCGACCAAACATCAATTTGGGTTATTCAAATGAATTACATGTATAACAGAATTTTCTCAGCATAGTCAAATCAATATCAACACAGAGGAAGAAAACATAATACTAAGAAACTCAAATATAAAAATAAAGTATGACATTTAACAGTAGAAAGTTCAAATTCAACAAGGAAAATGAATTTGTGACGTCATATGCCAGTTCAATTTCAACATAATATTATCAGAGACCTAGCAATATAAACAGGCAGTACAGCTTGGCCAGACCACGAATCTGACCAATCCCGTGACAACAGGAACTGCGGCGGTAAACTCAAACAAACTTGCTGATTCGAAGAACACACACTGTAAGTGGTGTGCAATAAACTGCACTAATAAAAAACCAGACGATCTGAATTTTTTTTAAAGCGTTTTCCTAAAGACCCTTAAAGGTAAGTTAATTGGTGGATAAGTAGATAAAACTTAAATAGAGTATTATTCAGAAAAAATTTGTTTCAAAACACACACCTTTGTATTCACCATGAATGAAGGCGTGTGTTGTAACTTGTGTTCTAAATAGATCTAGATCTAGATCTATATCTCATAGATCTAGATCTAGATCGAGATTCTAGATATAGATAGATCTGTTGTAAATCTAGGTTTTAGATCTAGGCTTCCTCGCATCTGGAGATAGATTCTTTGGTTTAGATTATCTAGATCCAGATCTAATCCAGTGCTCATCTCCCAGTCAAGATCTAAATCTAGATCTAGATCGAGATTCTTTGGCACTTCTTCGTGTATACAAATGTCAGACTTCAATACAAAGTGAAGTGCTTTGCACAAATTCACTAAAACAAGCAGAGGAAGGCAGAAATATTTCAACATTTGTAATACAAAACAAATTGGATTTACTCCAGTACACTTGCATCAGGAAATAGATATGGTGAGTGGTGAGTTGTGTATAAATCTCTATTGCTCTTTCTTTCTCTCCATTTCTCTCTCTCTCTCTCTCTCTTGTTCTCTTTTCCTCGTCTTCTTCATTGTTGTTGTTAGATAATTTAGGAAGCTAATGTTATTTGATATGCCAAAGTTGTCTAGAATTTTAATGTTGTTATTGCTGCTCATAATCGTTATTGTTGCTGTCCCCCTCGCCCTTTCTCCATATTAATGATGTTGCTGTTGCTGTTGCTGCTGTTCTTGCCCTAATGTTGTTGTCGTCATCGTTGTTATTATTGTTCTCTCTCTCTCTCTCTCTCTCTCTCTCTCTCTCTCTCTCTCTCCCTCTCTCTTATTTTCCGAAACATTATGACGATGAGGACAACACTTTGCACCGAATATGTTTATTGTTACATATATGAATTAAATATAAAAGAAAATAATGACATTATTAAGTGTTCATATTTTGACATTTTCATCTTAGTAGATTCAGTGGTTGCTGGTGTAATGTGCTTTTGTTGCGAGAACCTTTCAGTTTGATATTACCGACAATCACAATCACGAGTAGCTTCCTGTCTACACCAACGACATCC